TTGGCACTTTTGCAACTGACAATGAGTTTTGGGGGGAAAAGCCAGCCAGAGGCGGAGCTAGAGCTGGAGCTGCTCCTGCGCCTGCGCACACTTCTTGCCACATAATGGACGTCGGAGGACGCCGCCCACCTGGCCTGGGCGATGATTTATGAAATGGCTCCTCCATTTGTGGCTAAAGCTCACCGCTCCAAGGGTGTGAAGTGTGGTGGAAAGTGGCAAATGAGTTGCTTGTTGTTCGCTTTTGCCAGAGCACAGAATCTCGGATAATGCAAAACAAAATGCCTGCAAATTGCAGACACGACCGGATCTGGAATATATCTTTCCCTCCGCTCTCAGGGTGCCCAACTACCAGGCTCCAGCTTTCGACTGCCAGCTCTCATTCCCCCGCTTAAGATTAATCGCCAGGGCTTTCAAGTGACGCCAAGTTTGGTGTCAAAAACTGCGGCAAACAAAAAGGGAGACTCAGGCAAACGAGCCAGGATGGCGAGTGTTAATGAAGTACAAATCTTTCACTGTGAAAATTAATTTATTTTAGGAAATTTTTCTAAAGTTATTAAAAAGCAAATAGTGCATTTTCTAAGGCAATATTTTATCTTGTTTATGTAGAAACCCATAGAAATTAAATTTTCAAAATTTGCTATTCAACTTTATACTATTTTTTGCAAGTGCAGAAACCAGAGTAGAGCTTGAGCTGTACCTGGTAGTCCCCGAGTGGCTGTTGCCTTGCCATGTGGGCCCACCCACGCACTCTCTTCAGCAGCACTTTGCATTAAGGCCGACATCGTCGAGTGTTAAAGTCGCCTCTTATTTTACTCGTTTTACATTTGCAGCTGTGCCTGCGAATAACGGCAGATCCCCCCATAAAGATCATAAAGCTCCTCGGGATCTGACGCGATGGGATGTGTGATGAGCCACCCACTCAAGAGCCAGGCCTCCACCTGGAGTGGAAAGGATGAGACGCGACGATGGCAGCTTGAACTTGCCCCCGGCTGGGATCGGGGATTGATTACAAGCGGATCACAACGGATCAGGATAAATGAGGTAAACATCATTAGATGCTCAGAGCATCGGATGGATGTGAAAACTCCGTCCCAGTCTTGGATCTTTGTTTGCCATAATGACGAATTGTTATTCTCCGCGATGGAGGAGAGGCTTGCTCCAAGATTAGAGGATCATTTGCATAAATCGATCAGATTGTCTTTGGGGGCTCTGCGTATTTTTCTTTAATGACGATGATAGTAGAGAAGAAAGGCCAGATTCGCAGAAGATTTCTTTATTCGGAGTGTGAGGGGAGGCTCTTCTCCGAAGAGGTCTCAATTGCAAGTGTCTTGCAGGTATTGCAAGTCTTGAGGAAGATACTGGCTGAAGTGCCTTTGACTTTCTTCTTCGTTAGGCAAAAGTAAAGAGTTTAATTTAATTAATCGCATGTATAGAATGACCTGCAATAAGTTTTTATTTGCTCAAACAGGCTATAAAGCCAACGAAAAATCATTGAGAGGCTTGAGAAGAGTTTTCTTTGGGTCTAAGTTTTGGTATTTGACTTTCTATTTCTTATATTGGGTTTAAAGGAAATTATTTAGCAAGATTTTTTGGCTATACATACTTTTAACAAATATATTTTGTGTTCATTATCATTAGAGAGTTATGTAAATAAGTTAATCTTGATTCCTTCTCACTGTTAGGCTCCATCTCAAATATCCTTAGACTCTGGTAAGCCACTGACCCTGCTGACGTTTAACGACTATTAACCTCTGACAACCCTTAACACCTGGCTAACCACCTTTCGCTCCGCCTACTCCAGACCACCGGCTTTGATTTCCCAGAAGCCCCACAACAACCAAACGAGCGTTTTGCACATATTTCAGCTTACTTTAAACGGCCAACTTACAAAAGCCCAGATGAGGAAAACTCTAGGGGAAAACTAGCGAAGGAAAACTTTTACCACAAATCGGATTTCCTGCATCGATTTGCGGTCTTCGCACGCGTCTACAAACTCAAACTAACACTCAGAGACTCGAGTATTCAAGACTCAAACTACACAGAAAAGCATTAAGTAGATCACAGAGCAACGACTGCCTTTTGAAGAGATCTCAGCGACTAGGAACAAGAGCAGGAAGAATCTTCAGCTCCATCTCGATATCGGAATCAAAGACAACGCACAAGGCACTCTCAAATGCCAGAGATATTTCCCAAGGAAATAGAAGAGATTCTTGTGCCGGCGCGCCGGCCCCGCTTTTCCAAGAAGCCAGCCAAGAGGTGAGTGAGGAAACGTGTGTGCAAGTTTTTCCCTTATTTGTTCAGCACACACCGAACGGATGACAACCAGCAGGCCACTCGAGAGTGCGCTCTATAAGACATAAAAATATGTGTGCTCGGAGAGAGATTGTTAAAACAATCACGATTTGGAGCTTAAGATTAATTTAGAACTCAAGGAGAAGTGATCTGGTATGCGTCCTGAATTACTGCAGCACAACTTAGAAAAGAGAGTAGTTTCATGGTTTTAATTACCTTTTTGCCTAACTATGAACTGGTGATCGTCAGTCGAAGTTATGGCAACAGTCCAAAGTGTCTCGGGTTTATTTCAAATGTGTTTTGACGCAATCAAGTTAGAGGGTGAGTGTGGTAACCAGGGAGGTTTAAATTAAGATCCTAGTTATCAGAGGCTCCCTAACTATCAAGACACGATTCCCCCAGAGCTTCCTTCGATTAAAGTGCGAACTATTAAAGTCAGAGACTGCCCGTAAGTTATTCTATTTATGATAGAACAGGGTCCTCCAACTTCATTCTTCCAACTGGGTGTGGAGAACGTGTTTAGCCTGCTCCTGGTCCTGCCTCCCACCAAAACCCCCTCCCGACAACGTGCTAAAATAACCCCAAAGGCTAGCTTCATCTCATCTATCGAAGGGCCCCGGCCAGCAGCTAATTGCTTGGACACGCCTGCAACTTCCAACAGCAAAACGAGTAGCAGATCGGATCTCATCAAGCGAATATGCATATTCATTCATAGTCAGTCATAACGAGGTTCCAGATTCGAGGCACTCCTCATAACTGCACAATTACCTAGTTATTTTAATTAGCCAAAAAGACACAGAGAAAAGTGGGAAATAATAGTAAAAAGCAGAGAAAAGTTGAGCAAGTGAGGTGACAACACATAGGAAATGTCTAAATATACAAACAAAAGCTGGACAAAGCATAAATCACCTGAAAGGGGGGCGCACAGCGCTCCCCCTGGCAAACAAGTTAATGAATGTATCCGAGAGATACATCTGCATAGAGCCCAGAGAAAGACTCGACAAATAGAGTCCGCCAAAGAGCAAAAAGCGGCTATAAAAAGCGTTAACAAGACAACAACAACAGCAGCCACAGCAATTGGCAAACAATAAAATACACTTGGCGGATTTCGGATAGCTACTAAATTGCAGTTAACAATTCTCGGCAAATAAATTTCCGCTGTCTGCCAGATGTGGGTCAACCGGAGAATGTTTGAGGAGGGGACGCCTTCTATTTTGTATCTAAGAAGCTTTCAATGCCAGCGGCCAGCATTTCACTCTTTGGCTCGCGTGTTGGGCAGATTTTAACTACCGTTCGGAGAGTATCTCATGGATAGCAGAGCTCTCGGCTCCCCACTTCCCTGGGACCATCATTAATCACCTTCCGTCAATCCTGCGCACAGCTGTTCCAGCGCTGCATCTCTAACTCCGCAGCGCACATTTGGCTTTTATCACTCGATCCGCACCAAATAAACTGCAGGAAAATAAGAAAAGAACTGCGGAAAACACATTTGTGTGCCAGATTTTTCGGCGTGAAGAATTTCCGATCAAAGGAGAAGAGAGAACCTAATTGCTTTTTGGTGGAAAACATGCGAAAATAATGCCTTATGGCTGGCAAAACTTCAATAGATGTGTAAAGTTGCCAGATGGCAATGAAACCTCTTTGTATTTGGCTTTTATAAGAATTCCACAAAAGGTATAACCAAAACGAAAGCTACAAACGAATCTTCAGAAGAGTAAATACTCAAGAGATATTCCTTTTTAATATTTACTTTGTCATTTATTCAGTTCCAAATATCAACATCTTCGGTAAATTCCATCTAACCGTGATAGACGTGGTGACCATAGGTGGGCACAGCGTAGGACTTCAGCACTGGGACATTGTGGACCACGGGCACATGCTTAACCACCGGGATTTGGCTGACTACTGGGACGTGCTTGACCACGGGGACCTGGTGCACCACCGGAACATGCTTAACCACTGGCACCACAGAGGCCACTGGAACCACGCTGTAGTGGGGCTCAATGTAGCTGGGAGCAGCGAAAGTCATGGCCACCAGGGCGAGGAAGACAGCGATCTGCAGGGATATTAATCAATAGAGAACCAGACTCCAAAGGATATCTGCTTGTACACTTACGAAACGGAACATCTTGACGATTTGTTGGGTTTTGTAAGAATTTCAAAAGAAAACTTGAGCTGGTTGTGACACTTGGATGGTGGTCAAGTGACTGTTGATGATTGACCCACCGCTACATCATTATATATAGTTAACACTTCAGCCAAAAATAGACGCGAAGTGACTTCTGTTCAAGCGCCACGCGCCAAACCAGTTTAATTATACTTAATTTTGGGCATCTGCGTCGGCACAATGCGCATTCTAATTCGCCGCCACTCGAACTTCCCGTTATCGGTCGATTGTCTAACCTTTGGACATAATCCCCATTCAATAACTCTCCAATTGTGCCGCCTGTCCAAGAAGACCTTTGTCATTATATCGATCGGCTTCACGCGCTATTGATGATGCTCGGCGAGAACCAAGGTCAAGTACACACAAAAAGACCTATATGAAGCGACTCTGCCAACTTTGGGTCACCGGATAAGTCCATTCTCCAATTAAAATAAAGAATTATACGCAATAATCGTGCGGCTAAACTCGTTTGCTCGGTCAGCAGATCGAACGGTCATTATTGTCGTATCTTTTGGCTATATAAAGTAACCGATCCGTTGGTCAATCATCAACAGTCACTCGACCAGCTCACAAGTGTCACTACAACCTCAAGTTTCCATTTGAAATTCTTACAAAACTCAAAAAATCGTCAAGATGTTCCGTTTCGTAAGTATACAAGAAGATATCCTTTGGAGTCTGGTTCTCTATTGATTAATATCCCTGCAGATCGCTGTCTTCCTCGCCCTGGTGGCCATGACTTTCGCTGCTCCCAGCTACATTGAGCCCCACTACAGCGTGGTTCCAGTGGCCTCCGTGGTGCCCGTAGTAAAGCATGTTCCGGTGGTGCACCAGGTGCCCGTAGTGAAGCATGTTCCGGTGGTCAGCCAAGTTTCAGTCGTGAAGCATGTGCCCGTGGTCCACAATGTCCCAGTGCTGAAGTCCTACGCTGTGCCCAGCTATGGTCACCACGTCTATCACGGTTAGATGGAATTTACCGAAGATGTATTTGGAACTGAATAAATGACAAACTAAATATTAAAATAAAAGCCTATTGTGTTATTTCGCTTAAATAATTTTCTATAAAGGTGATAGCTTGGGCGTCTCTGGAAACCCACTTAAGAAACATAAAAGTAAACTTTAAAGCAGTTTCCCCTAAATATTATCATGTCAAAATAAGCACCGACGACTTTGCCTGTATAAATAAATTTAAATTAACAATTATATTTAACGTGTTTTTCGTGTCAACAATGGCCTAACTCCCTTTCATTGCCGGCACTTTCCATTTTTCACACTTGATGCCTCCCTGGACATTTATTGATCGGTTTATGGCGCATTTTGTTAAATTTAATTTTCACCTCGCGAATAGTCGTTAGCGAGGCGAAGAGCCGAGTGAAAAATTTCTTCATTAATCAGCTGAATACACTGCAACGCCTGCTCCAAGGCAGTTGCTGCTGCGCAATCCCGGCTCGTCTTTAATTTGAGCCAATTAAAGCTGCGACAAAGCCTCCTCCGAATCCGAATCCCCGAGACTGTGTCAGCCTTTCCCCCTTTTTTTTCCCTGCTCGGCGTTCGATCTTCGTGTTAATGATGGACCCGAATGGATTGTACATTGTTTTTCAGCTAGAAAAACTCAAATAAGTTGGGGAAAATATAAAAATAAATTGTATTGGAAAGTAAATTTTGTGATCAGGCTTTTGTGACTTTTTTGTGGATATTTTTTTTATTGTCTGGCTTTGGTCTTTCTTATGGCTTAAAAACCATTTATTGACTCTTTTTTTGGGTTAATTTAGCCCACATTTTACTTTGGTTTTTAGCTTCATTCGGATTTCCTAACCACTTCCTTTCTGCTTCTATGAAACCAACTTGAAAATACAATTTTATTCCTCAATTAGAGAGGAAAGAAATAGTAATTTGCCGCTCGATTATGACGAAATCATTTGATCCGCTTCACATGTGACGGTTTGGCTCTGTTTTTCATTTGCTTTTTTCGGGGGCTTGTCCCTCCTTTGTTGTCTGTGGTAATGACTTTATCCAGTGGCCACATAGTAGGATCCCCGTTTGATAAATTATCCACTCCACTCCACTGGTAATAATGTTTTTCCAGGGCTGCTTTTGTTTTCGTTTTGTTAATTATCCGCTTTAATTGTTAATTTAAATCACGAACATTTTTTCGTGGCGAAGGAAAGTGAAACTCAATTGAACTTGAGATCTCTCACTCTCTCCCCCTCGTGTGTTATTCCCTTATGAAAATGGGCGTGTTTTTCGGGCCTGCAGAGAAGTAGAGAAAGGTCTTGTGATCCGATTGTTGGCGATAATGAGATTGGACTGCCTTTGGCTTTGTTGTGTTTGATTGAAGTGGAGTGGGGATTAAGGTGTAAGAGCTGGTAATCCGAAATGTATTTGGTAATCCACAAAAATTAAGGTTTACTTGGAAAATATTATGAAATAAGTATTTAATTTTCTATAAGGGAAATTTAAAAATACTACATTAATAAGATTGAGGGACCAAAGGGAAAATTTTAAGGTAAATACTACCTAATGGAACAACTATAAAGTGAATATATTGAAGGGAAATGACTATTATTTATTTTTGAGCAAAAACAGAATTAGGTCTATATATCTTATTCAAAAAAAATTATACACATGTTATTTATTCATCTTTCTGAAGCATGATGCAATACTACCAAAGGGAAATTTGACGCTAAATACTAACATGGACAGGTAAAATTTAAATAGGTTAATAAATTCTTAGATTTATTTATTTCCATTTCGGACATTATTTTAAAATATTTTTTAACTAACTTCAGGCTCAGCAAAGCCTTCTTATAATACAAACTTACAATTTAAGTACTTCATTTAGTACTTCAATTTAGTACTTCATCTAAATCCTACTCCTATGAAAAATTGTTTTATTTAAATGTGACTTTTCAATAAATTCAGCTTTAGTCCCAGCCCAACTGCCCACAGACTGCACTTGAATGCAATTACAATTTAGTTAGGTCCAAAACGATGGCAAATAAAATGGAAAGTTTATTTTAAGGTTCACTTAACGCTCAACGAAAGTTGAACTATAACTGAGCCAGGCTGCGATCGCAACTGAATTTCAAGTGGGGCTAACTACTCCCTGGCTAATTCGGTGGTTCCGATGTTTTATTGCCGCCCAGCAACCAGCATCTGGCAACTGGCCATATGGTCCATGTCCAAGTCCCTGTCCAGCCTCGCTGGGCGAAAGGTTACAGCCTTACCAGCCGGCAATTGTTATGCAAATCTGGCGGCAAAGCCAACACAATGGACACTCCGTTCGATAGAATCGGACAAATCCCGGAGCGAACCGAATCGAAATCCCATCGGGCGAAACATGGAATTATGACTGCCATAAAGTGGAGCACTTCCTCGACTCGACGACTCCCGCACAACACGAAAGTGGAATTGTCATTGCGATTATGGTCGCGACTGTCTCTTAGCTAATCGAGCGGCCCCAGTAAAGACTCTAAATTGCGCCACCTTCACTTTTCCGGCTGTTTTTCCAGCGAGGGAAGCGAAAAACAAACTTATTTTCTCGCTTTGTCGCGCTTGTGGCTTGTCTTGACCATTTTTGGTGGCCTCCGCCTCCTCATCCTCCCCCTGTTACACAGGCTCAGGTTCGGAAACAAAGACATCCTTTCGGCATAGTGGCGACAGGCAACATGATTGTTTACGCTTCATTTGACCAGAACGGCGAATGCTTAACCCATTGTGGCCCCAGGCAGGTGCGCGGCAAGAAAAACCCAAAAAGCCAAAACAGTTGTCAGGCGATTTTTATCAGAAAAATAAAGACATTCGCTTGGATTCATTTCAATTCATTTTCTAGGAGAAACTTTTTCAAGATTTCTATAAAAAAAAAATCTAAAATTCGGTTACCTAAACCCCAAGTTACCTCGATATATCTTTAACCTACTATTTCAAATCTTTTTCCCACAGCCTTAAATACAAATACAAATATATGCCAAGTTTCAGAAGAATTCATTGTGCTCTCTGGGCTTCGCTCTGTTTTGGGGCTGTGTTGTTCAATTAAAAAGGAGATTGCAGTCAGCACCTTGGGGAGCTGAGCTCCACTCAGACATTGTCCGGCAGCTGACAAATTTTGGTTTTTTGCTTCACGGCGATCATCTCTCAATCGCAATCGCAATCGGGATCTCCATCTTCCCCGGCTACTGCTGCTGCCGCCTTTCCTTTTAAGTAGCCATGGGGCTTGATTGGAAGTGGAGCCCGGTCTAGTTAACAGCTTGGACTGGATGCGTGTCTCCGCCTTCGGAGAGAGAAAGAAAGAGAGACGGAGCCACAAACAATTGACAGAGACAAACGCCTAACAACTTATTGGAAATATGTTTAACCATTTTTGGCAATTGACATTTTGTGCTGCCGTTGTCGATGGAGAGTCTCTCTCCTTCGCTCTTCTCCAGCCAATCGACAACGTGACAAAACAATTGTCGTAAATCAGGGGCAGCCAGTTGGAGTCTCGGGGCCTAGGAGTTTGGCAGCCTGGCCAAGTGATTGCCAAAAAATGCTAACTGCCCACAATGCAAAACCCAAGTCTTTCGGTTTTGTAATTTGTTTTTTTGTTTACTTTCATTTGACTCGTGGCAGGCTTCAGTTTTTTTTTCGGGGAGAAACAAGAGCGAATGTGTTGCCGGACATTCCATTGAATATATCCTAAAAGGAATTTTCAATTAGCCCAAAATAAAAAAAAACAAAGAACTCGTTCCTGAATGGGCCAAGAAAATGGACAAAGAAAATGATTGGTTTTTGGAGCATGGAACGGGGAGTCTTTTTACATAACAGAAAATTGCAATTTGTTTTGAAGTTACTTGACTTTCATTTAAATATTTAAGAATTCCCTTATAAAATAAATGTTCCGCCTTAGTTTTCATATTAACACCTTCACCTTATGCAACTCGCTTCGGATTCGAGTCGATTAACTTCTGTCATGGTCAAAGCTCAATTGAAACCGACACAAATCACAGCCAAAGGCGGGACTCTTGACTCTCTTCCGTCTTAGATCTCACTCCCAAACACTCAAAAAGCAAAAAAAAGAGCTCGCTCTCACACACTATTACATAATACATGTTAACGGAGGGGAGGCAGCCCCAGAGCCTCGCTACTCCAGACAATATTGTTCCGATAAAAATCCCCCTAAATCAAAGAAAAGCGCAGAAAAACAGAAATGGCTGAAAACAAATCTGTGGGCAATTCAGAGACGTCGAATTCACTCCCGATCGAAGGTGTTGCAGACGTCCGAAATGCCAATTATCAGCAGCCAGAGAGGAGGTTATCTCAATTCCCCCGACTTGCCAGCAATTTTCACTTTCATCTCAATAAATTTTCGTAACAAAAAAATATAAAAATAAAGAAAAGCAGCGCGGACACAAGGGAACATTGTTGTTTTGTCTCGATTTTCGAGGAGGTAAGTCAGGCAGTTAGTGGCTTTGAGAATGACTGACGGATTTGCTCTTTGGGTTTTCCATAGCGACCCATAGTTGCACAATCCACCGCCGTCGCACGCACCAGCGGAAGCCGATGGCGGCCGGGGGAAACTTAAACAAAGAAAAACGGGACGAAAAACACAAGTCATTGGGTGCTACGAAAAAAGGGAGAAGTACGAGAAAATAAAATGCGTAAAATTGCATTTTTGTGTGATTGTTTTGTTATACTTTTACTGAGCATAATGTAATTATTATTTTTTAAAATTTGTAAAAACATTTTCAGTTCAAAAATAAAGCGAAAAAGCGGGCTTTTCAGAATTTCTACTCTTCAAAGTTACCATAAAATTGGCGGTATATATCTAAGCACCTAAAAGCAGGCCACGTTAAATTTAAGTAAAACAATTTATCTGCCCCGCAAAGTGTGCCTTGAATATAAACATTTCTCAACTCACCGAGTGCACTGCTAGATGGCGCTGCAACTCCGCGTTGCCAAACAGTGTGAGCTCTGTTATGGTGGGCGAACTCTCCAATTTACTCTCCATTTCGCGCAGCCAGCGCCGCAGCTCCTTGGGGTCCTCACAGAGACCCTCAGGTCTTTGGGTTTCGTCGAGCATCTAACAAATAATACAGATATTATACAATTAATCAATAATAGTGCCAATAATATGTAATATTAGTATTTATTATATTAGTTCCACAATTATCTTGATAGAGGGCGCTGCCACTGTTTTGGAGAGTCTGTTTTCGAGATCTGGCACTTTTGGTCGCTGGGACATTGACGATCTGGCACTTTTGGTCGCTGGGACTCAAAAGTCTGGCAACGCCATTGTACGAGCACCGCGTTGCCAGACTTTTCGGTCCCAGCGACCAAAAGTGCCAGATCTCGAAAACAGACTTCTCCAAAACAGTGGCAACGCCTCTATCTCACAACTCACCTTTAGGCAACACTCGCTGGACTTCTCCAAAACAGTGGCAGCGCCCTCTATCTCACAGCGCGCCTCCTTGCAGGTGTCCAGCAGGTTCGTGTCCATAATATAATTGTAGTTCGTTTGAATGGCCGCCCAGAGGTCGTCCTTGCCCGAGGAGCCCAGGCCCAAGGTGGCGCTGCTGTGGAGACTGGTGGAACTACACTGACTGTGGCCGCTGCCCCACGAATAACGGTGCATTTTATTGCTGCTCTGCGAGTTTTTCTGAAAAATAAACAAAAAGATATTGTTTTAAAATATTAAAACAGTTTATAGCCAAATGCAGGTAAAAATTCTAAATGGCAGCAAGCTTGCAGTATCTTGTCAATTCGCTCTGATCATGTAAAACTGTCACTTAAGCCATGAACTTTGACTCCGACAGTAACATATCTGGTTTATTTATACTTTCTTGATAAATAAGAAATAAATAGATAAATAAGAAAATGAAGTAATAAATAAGAAAATAAATATTTAAAGTTGCCACAAGGCGCATTAATAGTGCGTTAATTAATTATATAAAATAATTTATAAAGTTAAAGCGTAAGCCATGAACTTTGACTCTGACAGTAACATATATGCTCTTTTTGTAAATAAAAAAATTAATAAATAAAAAAATTAATAAATAAAAAAATTAATAAATAAAAAAATTAATAAATAAAAAAATTAATAAATAAAAAAATTAATAAATAAAAAAAAAATAAAAATAAAATAATGAAATAATTAAATTTAAAAAATAATAATGAAATAAATAAATTTAAAAAAAAATGAAATAAATAAATAAATAAAAAAAATAATGAAATAAATAAAAAAAAAATAATAATAATGAAATAAATAAATAAATAAACTGATGATTTTCAGTTTCTACCGTACTCTACCCAAGTCGAGGAAGTAAGTAGAAATGTATTTCCTAATCCAGCTGATTAAGTAATTATTTGAATATGGCATTAACCAATTCACAAATCAAAATAAAGCTACCAACAAAGTGACAAATAACAAAATACAAAAGGAAAAATTGCAAACATGACAAACAGGCACAAACTCAACAGAAGGAGAGGAGGGGGGAAACCGCTAAGAGTTGTTAATAAATAAGTAATTTGAGGCGGGCCAAATACGGCCGAAACAATATGCTTGGCCATCTTGGGAGTAGCCTCTCTCAGCCTCCGAATCGGATTTCGATTCCGATTCCGAAACTGGTTTTCAACGCTCCAAATTGCCAAGCGCGCGCAATTAATTAATGCACTCTGTAGTTTGGCCAAGAAAGTGGCAACTGACCAAGGAAATTCCTCATTTACACAGCGTAATCCCGAAAAGTAAACAAAATTGAATAAAAATGAAATTGAAATCGGAGCAATCATCGTATTGACAAATGAATCAAAGCTTGCTACTGCTGCTTTTTATTTGCTGATTTAAGTAATTGATTAAGTAAATAAGCCGCCGGGTCCAAATGACTCGCATTTCAGGCAAAAAAAAAACAAGAAAGAAAGCTAACTTTGGCCAGCCAAAGTTTGTATACCCTTGCAGGCAACAATTAAAATATATCATAACTAAGCCAAAAACGCATTAATTTCGATTCGGAAAGCAGTTTTGTGTTAGTTTTTACTAATTTAAAAAAACTGCATACCAAATTTAAGAATTTTAAGAAATCAAAATTTTTGGCCATTTTTGCTTATTTTAATGATGTAACTCCTTATCAAATTTCGCAAAAAATGGCCAAAAAATCGATTTCTTCCGGACATGTCTAGAAAGATTCGCATGTTCATGCTGATCAAGAATATATGTGGTTTATGGGGTCGGAAATGATTCCTTGACTTAGAAAAATATTATTTTGTATTATAAAATCGGATTTTTTATATTAAAAAAGTTCTTTATTTTTTTTTAATTAAAAATATCATAACTCGGCCAAAAGAGCATTAATTTTAAATCGGAAAACTGTTATGTGCAAGATTTTCTACAGTTAATAAATCTGCATACTTCATTAAAAAATTTTGAAAATTCAATTTTTTATCAAAATCAAAAATTTCAATGATGTAACCCCTTATAAAATTTTGCAAAAATGGCCAAAAAATCGATTTCTTCTTGACATATTTAGAAAGATTCCCCTGTTGATGCTGATCAAGAATATATATACTTTATAGGGTCGGAAACGTCTCCTTCACTGCGTTGCAAACTTCTGACTGAAATTATAATACCCTGCAAGGGTATAAAAAGAATAACAAACCCCTGCCCACAGAGTGACTAAGAAAAGTCTGCGCCAAAGTAAGCTGTAAAAGTATGCAGGCAGGCAGGCTGCGACACCTGGGGTAGGCCTTGAAAATCAGTATGCGGTCTTGTAAATTTCAACAGATTTTTATAGGGGGGATAAAGCCAGCAAATATCTAAATATATATGCACATATATCTCGATGGCTGTGAGAACGGGGCCACAACAACAATTTTGGTATTTAGATCTTGTGCTCTAGCCCCCGCTGATAAAATTTATTTGTAAGCCATTCGGACACACCCACTTCGGTCGAAGTAAATGTGCAAATTATCTTTGATTAGGCACTAAAGTGATGAATTTATTAATGAAACTATTAGTCGCTGTTTAGCATCAAAACTACACTGTTTTTCACTCGCTGCCTGCTGTTTCTTATTCGGGAATGTGGTCATTTTCCGTCCGAGTTGAGGAAGCATAGAGCATTATGCATTCTTCCTGTTTTTGGCATAAATTAGCAATTTGCGTTCGCTGCCAGTGGCGCCTGTGTAACCGTCGTAACTGTTACAGCTGGGTTGCAGCGACATGCTGATCGGCAAATTTATTAATAATTTATTAAAGCAATTTCCGTTGACACAAGAAATAACTGAAGAGCGAATTCTAACGGAGGCTTGTCATTTTAAGAGACCGAAAACTTGTTAGCGTGTGGAACGCAGGCTAGAGAAGAACAGGAATTTGCACACTAAAAAACTAAGCACAATCTTTGGACTTTGGAAATCATACGTAAACCTTTAAGTAAATTATTATGAAAACTCCTTACATTAAATTGTACAACTTCAATTTTCTATTCCTTTTTGTTTACTGAAGACTCCTGTCAAATAGCTAGTGACCGCCTTATACTCTGTACTGCTTTGAATTTTATCAATAATTTTTATGCGATGGTTTTTTAATTTATAACAAATATAAACATCCCAGAAAATTTAGTATTACAGAAAAAGAAGAAAGAAAAACTTGCTTAATTAAATTATCATTTCCAATTCGATTTTCGTATTGAATTATTAATTAGACCTGAAAGTGTACAGCTGTGTTCACGGAAATAGCAGTGCGACAGAGGAACAACTTCAAAACGTTTTTTTGTACATATTCCTTTTTGCAAGCTGATCTATTGCACATTGTTTTTGTAAAATGGAACATAAAGATAAGAATCGAGAAAAAATTCCGTTAGATTTGCTCTACTTTTATGTTTTATTGATATTTTTTCACATATGCAGCTCGTTTTGGCCGATCACTGAAATAGCAGTTTTTAATTTTCTTTCGCAAAAAGTGCCGAAATTTCTTTTAATTTTGTAAAAAATTACTTTAATTAAGGTCGTTATTATAGTTTATACTATAATACACCTTTACAACGCAAAAAAAATTATTTTAGTGGGCGCAGGACCTCACTGCTCCATGAGAGAAAGATATCAGATAATTTAGCCTAGAAAGAAGGGGAAAACATGTAAAGAGTCTCCAAATCTTTCAAATTGTTCTTTTAAAATAGTTTATAAGTCATAAAATATGAACCGAACCCAAAAAAAACGGGGTACGATTCGCAAAACCCCAATTGTACAGGCTCGACGCGTACTTCGCTTCAGCAAAGCTCGTCCTTTTGCATCCTCTAGGGATATATGAGCGGGAATTGGCATGGGAATCAGTCATGGGACCATTCGCCGGGGACTTATTAAATAAATTTTAGATTCGCGAAGTCCATGGAAAATGTCACTGCTTGGTTATAGGCATATCAAGGCCAGATTGGAGTTCGCCAATAGCCCCTTGAACTGCCACTTTTCAAATGGCGTAATATCCTTTGGACAAATGACTCCAAACTGGTTTTATTTGGTGGAATAGGACAAGACAATATGTCCGTCGACCCCCAAATAGATAGTACCCCCCAAACCATACGCTGAAGACAGTAAAACACGGTGGCCTAAAAATCATGGTATGGGTATACTTTTCATACAACGTTTTAGGTCCCGTAAATATGATCGGTGGGATCAAAGACCATTATGTTTACGTCTAAATATTAAAAACTGTCTTGCAGCCGTATCCTGAGGAAAATATGCCATTAATTTGGACATTTCAGCAGTACAGTGACCCTAATCATACCATCAAGGTAGCCAAGGAGTGGGTTCTTAATGAAAAAGTGGATGCAATGCCATGGCCTGCACAGTCCCCGGATATAAATCCGATCGAAAACTTATGGGGGACATCAAGGGCTACTTATTAAAGAAGTTTCCGACTTCTAAGATGCAGCTTTGGCAATTTGTGCAGGAGGAATGAGGCCATATTCCCCTCAAGCATTGCTAAGACTTGGTGGACTCCATGCCACCCAGGTATGAGGCTATGATAGCTTCTAAAGGCTATTTAACAAAATATTAGATCATAGTCAATTGGAATTTAAGAAGAAATAGGTTTCTTATACGAAATTTTTAAATTTATGAAGAATTTTAGTTTTTCACTGCTATTTCAATGATCGGCATAATATAGACCTTTTTTGTTGTTATTAGCTATATCTTCTAAAAGGTTTATGTTACCTAAATTAAATGATTGTGGTATTGTTAATAATTAAATATACTAAGCTTTTATGAAAAAAAAATTTATGAAAATAGTGTTTGTAACAGGATTTTCCGATCTTAAACGTGCAGGTCGTTGGGCACTGCTATTTCCGTGAACACAGCTGTATATTCCCGCTGACTTGCTTATTTATATGATCAATTGCTAAATTTATGCACACGCACATACATTCTCCTCGGAGATTTGTACCTGCTGTACCTGCTCTCCCCAGATTCTCCCATTCCATTTGCCACTTTTGGATTTCACTCACCTTGAGGCTGTTGTAGGGACGCTCCAAATGGAGCTTGGCCTGGATGACGTCACGTCGCTCCTGCTGCTCCTCGTTCGAGGCCTGCAGTGATGTCATGGACTGCGATTGTTTTATCGAGTCGTTACCAACACTGGCGTTGCCGAATTTTAACTGTCCGCCGCTGCTAGTGGCTGTAGCAGCTTGACTTCCGTTTCCTGTTCCTGTTCCTCCTGTTTCGCTTGCATTTGCATTTCCACGCGATCCTCGTCGCTTTTTCTTTAGGGAACTACTCCGGCTACTGCTGGCCGATTTAGTTGTTAGCCCCATCGCCCTGTTTGGAGGCGTCGCTGGCACGGCAAAGATGCCGTCAAATTTCAAGGGTTTCGTTGTAGTAGTTGTGGCTTCGGTGGGGCTAGACGACGACTCCAGTTCCAGCCCCGATCCTTCAATTCCACCTCGTATCATGGCCGCTTTTTCAGTCTCTTGGTTGCTTGTTGTCATTGCTTTTTCAGCTCTCTTTTCTGATTCTGGGATTCCCCTTTCGATTTCCTGCTGCACTTCCATTGTTCTTCTCCAACTTTATTTGGTGGCTATTTTCAGGTGCATGTATACATATATCGCTTATTTGGAGAGCCAGTTATGTTAATTTGGGGTGGAGGAGCTCAGGCCCGAAATTTGCATGTCTGCGTGGTTTCCTCTCATTTCCATTTGCATTGTTTCCGTTCCGTTGCCGGCGTTCCGCTCTTTTGACAATGACCTTCAGGTGGTGTCCCTTTCGATTTCCGTTCGTTTTTATGCAAAATACTTGTTTCGTTATTTTGATAAAAGAAAAAATTAAATTAATTCCACTGAAACGAAACAAACGAGAGAGAGAAGGGGGAAATTTGCACATTAGTTGAAAGGAAATCAAACAAATTAGGAGGAAAAATAGGTGGGCCGATTTGAAATGATGATTATTATTATGATCGGAGAGGAGGAGGGAGGAACCACCTCATGGGGCGACTGCAGCATAATTAGCCTTGCTGCATTTATTCGTTTCTCATTTTCCTTCCACTAATGATGGGTATTATTACTATAGGCAAAAAGCCATTAAGAAGATGAAAGCGAATCGCACGGCGATCGCCTCTAATATGGATTCATTTCCTACAAGCATTTCTTTGACTGACAGGTGTTTTTAACGGAGAACTGTACATTACTATTTACCTGGAAAATATTTCTGATCAGTATTAGAGCCATTTCTGCCTGACTTGGGTAGGAAATATAAAGTCAATTATATTTATATTTATATTTGTATAATATTCTTTAAAGTTATTACTTTGAAGTATTTACTGTTTCTGTTCTGTCTCCCCTCTTCTTCTACTGAAGAAACTCTTAATGTTGTACGCCTCATAATTTTCTTTTAATTAATTTCTGCTACTTACTCACATTATCTCAAGGTACTCCGCAATTTTATTTATTATATCTGTACATTTTCGCCCACCATCTCGGGTCGTAACAACAACCCTGATACTTGTCAGATGTTGCAACACACACTTGCGGTGATGAAAGAACCCCCTCTATCGCAGTCCCCCCCTCCAGCATTTGCATAATTAAGTCTCCTAAAGAACCCAAGTGCAGTGCATATCAGACCCTAGAATCTCATATCTCATATCACACCCACAACAACCAGGTAACCAAGCAAACAAAGCAAGACTCTAAACTGTAAACTGTAAACGACAATTAAAAGCAACCGTAACCGGCAGACAGCTAACTACATAATGGCATAGGCTAACGAGAGGAGCGAGGGGGAAAATTACAATAATTACCAATGCAAATATTACTTAATTTCATAGCTCTGGTCAACGACTCCCAGATACAGCAGCATTATAAACAATGAACGCGATTCTAATCGTGGCGCAATCAAATTTTCATACGAAATTAGTCGTGAAAAACACTTGTGGGCCATATTCGTATGCAAATTTACCGGCGGGCACCTAGCTCACCTCGGTTGAGCGAAGTGGGGAGAGTGCAGAGTGAAGTTTACAAATAAACAGAGGCGATTGGAGGCGGTGGGACTTGTCCAACTCCTAAATTGGCCTGCAAGCGTTCATTTAGCAAGAGATCCGACAGAGATCCGGGGTTAGTGGGGAATTATGAATGATGAAATGGAGAACACCAGGTGGGAGGTGGAAGGAAATTAAAACCCTGAGCTTTGGTCTATGCAATAATAAATATAATTGATTATTTGATCAAATTTTAAGCAAAGTACAGCACGGAAATGAATCATTTAAGTGACTAGTAAGACCAAGCTTTCAAGTTTTCATTTACTACTTAGAGTCTTTAATTTCCTCTTAGATTTGGCAACTTCTAATTTCTTAAATATATTTTACTTTTAAGAAATATTTTTATGGCGCTGTCTCAGAGAGACATTACTTGCATAATTAAGTGATGAATGGTGCAGAGAGGTCGCAATGCTTTTATGTGCTGACCATTAAATCCAATGTACGTTTGCTTTATGACTCACGGCTTGGCTGTTTTCCCCTTTTATGCAAATTTTAGCACACGATCTGCATGGAAAATGGGATTCGCAGCTGCACTGGGACGGCAGTTAAAAAAGGCGCTAAAAAAGTTAAGGAAGACACGCGGACTGGCACTTGCCAGGCCTCGGTCGCCTTTTCCAACCAATTCATTTGGGGAAATTGAGAATTTCCACCAGTTTTGCATTGGCATTAACATTCAGGTTTATAGGTTTGGTAGTAAAAAGATAGATTTCCGCCTGGAAATTGCAAGATTATACGTTATTGGAGAGAGAAATTCCTATATTGGAATGTTTAGAATGCAGATTCTTTCTTAGCTTAAAAAGTAATCCTAATCAAGCAATTAGTGTTTATGTTTACACAATATTACACAATAAAAACCGTAATAAAAAGATATGCAAATTAATGTTTCCCCATTATGCATTAACCAAATATTTAACACTTTCAACTGCGCTGCTGCCTGACAATATCTTACTTTTGGGCCTCAACGGTTTTCTTTTCAATCCACCTGTTGAACTCGGTTGCGTAAGACACCTGTAAACATTCGGTAATAAAGTCAAAGTTTTTAAAGAAAAGCAGTGTCAAAGCGAAACCAAAACCGAGACCCCCGTCAAAACTTGGTCCCCACGTGTGGCGCACATAGTTTTGGCCCCAAATTTTGTTTACCACAAACCAAATGCCGCAAAGACCCTAGAGATCGCAGACCCCCAGAGTAGAAGAAGAAGCCACAGCAAAGGCCATTAATAGGCACAAAGAAGAGACACAAAGATGAAGATGAAGATGGAGACGAGGGAGACGTCTAAAAAGAGGGCTAAAAATATACAAATATTTGCGTAGACCAAGTGGTTTCGAGGCCCAAGATCCGATAAAGGGGTCCCGAGATCATCGCGGGTTCCACATTGTCTATGCCAGGCACGAAGTTTTCGAGAAGCTCGTAAATCTAGCCGGTCTGCGTTGTTATTCATAGCCATAAAATACAATAGAATCAATTTCTGGAGACGTCACAATCGCCTGTTTTGGTTAAGCAAACTTTCGATTTTCATTAGGCTTTAAGCCATTATCTTTTAACGTAAATCAAGGTTGTCTGTGAGTTAATACAAATATTAAAAAATCCAAGAGGAAAATGTAAATAAAAAACTCTGATAAATATGTTAAATATTTGTATAATATGAAGTCAACTACAAAAACTTTCAATTAGTAAGTTCATTCCTTAAAGCTTCTTCATACAAACCCTCTTCAATCCCAACTTAATTTCCCTTTAAGATCGGAAACAAAACTTTCATTGTTCCGATTTTCAGCAAAATCATTTAATTTCCCTTCCCTTTTGATCTTCACTCACTTCCGTTTTACACTTTATTTACTCTACTTTCGGTTCCGAAACAAGAACATAGAACTCCCGAAACCCACCGGATGTGAGAACTCACTAAATATCACAATCTATTCTCACGCTGGAAAACTCAGGGGCCAATTAAGGCAAATCAAGTGCAAACAATTGGGCTTCCAATTACTTTGTTTGGTTTCTTCCGATGAACTCTAGTCGGGCCTAGATTAGATAGAGGCGATACGCGACACTCGAGTGGCCCGAAATGAAATCAATTATAGGAGTATATATAAATACTGCATTATCTGGGGCCAAGATAAGACCCACTAGTTCGTATAGACTAGGGCCATAATTTAGTCATCAGCTGGCTTTGGGTGTGAAGTCATGAGTAAGAATGCTGATAAGATCGCTTTTAGAGGTGGCAAATCAAGGTACAAATTTAAGTGAATTGGTGTACAATTAAAAAATCATTTTTAGAAAATAATTTTATAATACGATCAGTGCTTATGAACTTTCATCTGTAACAGCAAGAGCTTGAGCCCCCTGGCAGACCATGAGTCGACGCCAGAAACGGATAATCGAAGACCCAGACCGAGACAATCGACATTCCGCAGACCAAAGCGTAAATAAAATATGGTTTATATCGCACCAAGCTTGATGCTTGCGATCACAGACAGAGCTATATTGTTCATAAACATATATCTGTGTATATATCTTTACGAGCCAGTCTGCAAACCACTTCTCGCTGAATTCTTCCAAGAATCACGTTGGAATGACCAGCGTTTGCCACACATTTGGCCATTCAGGGCCCAGTTGACCAGGCTAAGAGCCATGATTGGACGGGGAGAGACCCCCAAAGGCAGGCAACTTGCCATAAATTGACAATTGCCAAAGACAGTTGTAGCAGCAGCAGCGACAACAGCAGCAACAACAAATGCAACAGCAATAGCTGCAACAGCTGCTGTTGCAGCAGCAGCAACACCTAATGAATTGTTAACTGCTTGGACCCATTAAAGAGCGGGTGCACACAGAGATAAGAAAAGTAAATTTTAAAATAAATTATAAATTATATAATTACCATTATATTATGAATAAATGAAAAAAATATTGTATACGATTTTGTAGGCCTCACCAATTCGTCTATAAAAAAAACATCATTAGTTAACATAGAGACTTACAAACCCTATAAGAAATAATTCATAAACACCTTTAAAATTAAAAATAATGCCTTGCACGATTATTTATGGTGATATTTTACTTAGATTTGGCAAGAAATATAATTATAAAAATATCGATATATATAGATTTTAAGTCCCTAGAATGCTCATATTCCAACACTTTTAAATTAAAGCTGTTTTTACTAAGTAACGCTCATTTTACCCTTGGAGTATTACTATTTTTGTGAGTGTACTCTGCTTTTTGAGCTAGAAAGAGAAAACAAGATAGCGACACTTTTGGCACACGTGAATGTTGGCCAAGTGGCCAAATAATCGCCTCCAATCTGGCGACAATAACAATAACCATATTGACTTGTAACCAAAGGCTAAAAAATATTTTCACAGTATATCGATCGGGGGGGAATTCGGAAAAGCTGGAGGGGCCAAGGTATTGGAGCAAACCGCAGCACGCCAACCGCAAAACACAACAAAAACAAAAAACACAGAAAACAATCACAACATGTGGTTCAGTGCAACCCAGTTTAATTTAGGAGGGGAAAAGGGGTCCGTGGGCACCCCGAGACAATGAATTGTTTAATTTGTTGTGGTCGTGTCGGGCTTTGACAAACTTTTATCGGTCGACACATGAGATATGTCTCGGCAAGGGAGATCGGGAGATTCTGATAGCCATTGATCTCTAGATATGTTATGCCTTCATTTTTTTCATTGTTAGTAATTTAATGATAAATTTATTAGTTGGTATTTTATTTTATTATTGGCGGGCGGGAGGCTTTGAGATTTCTGCCTCGAAACGGGACAACTCGTCCTCGATGTTGCGGCGCTTCGAGCCTATTCCAAGGGTAAAACCGATTTTCTGCGCTTAAAAAATTCACAAATTAAACAAATTTTCACACAAAACGCTGTTGACAACAGCTTCTTTGATAGAGGTGTGCGCGTTACAGCGCGGACAGCTGCGATAGTTGCGACACATCGATATTTGGGAACTTGAAACTTCGATATAATATCGGCGATGTGTTATTGACGTTTTTCCAGCTCTAGTAAGTCGCTGTTTTCAACGATTTAATACATAATATTAAAATTAAAAGTCATTGGAAAACCCCCTAGCTGTGATAGCAACAAGTATCCCGAGCAAGTGTAGTGCAGCAAAAAGCAATAATCTCCTTGTAGACACACGGTCACGGCGCACAGGCAAGGCTCCCACACCCACACAGGCACACAAACGAAAGTTGCAGAGACAACAATTCCAAAAAGCCCCGAAAACCAGAGTTATTCCTCTGCCTAACTGAAAGCCCTACAAACCCCGAAGATGCCACCAAAGGAGCGCAACATAGCCGTTATGGGCTACCGATCTGTGGATGAGTTTTGCGACAAAGTCAAAGCCAATAAACATACAGTACGTACCATACCTCATCCACTCCGTGGGTCAGTCAGCAGCTTGTGTTGTTGTTGTTGCTGCTGGCACTTATAATTGCGTAGTATTTTGACAACAGCAACAACAACGAATTCTGCGAACTGCGAACAATCCCGTGTAATAATAACAACTGCGCCTTTATCTTCACTTGCAGGCAAATCGTTGCTCAGCATACAGTTCGTGGAAGGGCAGTTTGTCGACTCCTATGACCCCACCATCGAGAACAGTGAGTACAGCCTCAGTGCAAGTGCTGCTCTGGCCGGGATTTCCCAGAAAGAAACTGCGACCCAATTACTGGCAGATTCGATTATAAGCTTCCTGCGTTTTCCGTTCACAGCATTTAGCACACACACAAAGGTCAACTCGCAGGAGTACACGGTAAAGCTCATCGACACGGCCGGCCAGACGAGTACAGCATATTCCCGGTGCAATACAGCATGGATTTCCACGGCTACGTGCTGGTCTACTCGAAAACCAGCCAAAAATCTTTTGGAGTGGTCAAGATTATATACGAGAAGCTACTGGATGTGATAGGCAAGAAATAGTGCGTCTCACAAGACGTCTTAATTGAAGGTTTTGATCACTTTGATCCTCTTCCCCTGCAGTGTACCTGTGGTGCTGGTGGGCAACAAAACCGACTTGCACCGACTCTGTTGGCGAATTTAATAAATAAAGAAATATATTAAGTACTAGACCCTTTCATAAATTTCCTTTTCGCCAAAATCCATATTTCCTTTTCTTTTTTTATGACACTTTTGTAATCTTTGATCTCTCTTATGCAACCCCCAAGACCACCACAATTCCAGGGTATACAACATCCACTAACTTGGGAAACATTTGTCCGAATGTCGCACTGAAAAATGAAAACATTGCAAATTCCTTCGCCTTTGCCATGAACCTCTCCTGACTTTATCACCTTCTCTTCACGGGAAATGAAAATATGTGTAAAAAAAAAAAATAAAAATAAATGCACATAAAACAAATACAGCAAATAAAAGGAAAAAGGCAACTCCAAGCAGAGTGCGACAGATGGCGACGTGGAACATGGATTCGAAATAAAGGCGGTGGACGCTGAGGACCAGACAATAGGAGACCCCACTTTTGTTTTGGTTGTATTTTATAGTTTGGTTGATTTTCGGCGCAAAAGCAATTAGAGAAGTGGTTCGCCACCAAAAGGAGTTGAGGAAAAAAAGAAGACAGAAAAAAAAAACCGAAAGTTATCGTGGCCCCCAAAAGTGTCGACAAATTTTTGGGGAACATGCTAACATTGTGTTGCCACCTCCCAACCACTGAACCACCCAGCACCGCCCTCTCTACCGATATGTAACCCGGTTTTAAGTACAGTCTTTCCTCATTTAACTTAACTTTGAATTGCTTTTAGTTTAATTTTTGATTCAGGAAAAACATCAAGACTATTCAAAATTAATTTTTAGGTATATGGTTACAAATGTTCCTCATCAGTTCCTTTTTTTAAAACCAAAATATTTCAGAAGTAGCCCCACTGTACCCCTTTTTCTGTCGCCAACAAAATTTGTCTACAACTTATAAACATTTTTTGGCTTTAATCCACCAACTTCCAGTGTCCCCCACAACACCCCTTCCCCATTGGCAGCATTCCTGAGCATATGATAAATGTTTCGTGTTTTTGTCCGCTTTTGCGGTTCGAACACGTTTTCCCCATGTTCTGCGATCCCCACACAGAAAAGGCCATCAAGCACAGAAAATAAAATTAACGAAAAGAAAAGATTAAGGAAAAACAAGTCCCGATTTGCCACGCCTTATGACTGACCCGCCAAAATGAATAAAAAATGAACAAAGTGAACCAACTGAACAGAGGCGGTAACTCTTTGGGGCGGTGACAGGTGGCGAGGCTGTAAATAACCCACAGTCACACCCCCAAAGTGGCTGATCAGCTATAGCAAATTAGGGGTTTTAAGTGGTACCAGAAAGCATAAATCCAGGGAACACAATTAGCAGCAGGAAAGCATAGAGATTTATGGAAATTATGTATTCTGATTTGTGGAGTAAACTGTGAAGTATTCACTTAGAGCTTAAAGGGGACTACGAAAGACTAAAAAGTATATAAATAAAGCAACCTATTTAATTTTCACTAAACAGCTTCGATTGTGCTCAGTAAATGAGACATTCAAGAACCCCAAGAAATCTTTTCTGAAAGCAAAATTTATTACCAACAAAAATTCCCCAATTTTCCCCTATTTCCTTGACTCTGACATTGACCCACTTCTACAGTTACAGTTCTACTTACAGTTTTCCCCCTTTTGAAGCCGTTTTCTTCAATTAAAACCAACTTAATGACTCAAGCCCAGACTCAATGCATTTCAACTCTCTTAATTAACCCATTATGCCACTGGGAATTAAGCACACTCACATGACAGCCACAGATTCGGAGATACGGATGGAAGCTGCTAATAAACCCATCTGCAGTATTTCACTCTCAGCAAAGTTAATTATCTGAAAATTACTCACATAATCGAGTGCGAAAAGCGCGCAAATTTTTGGGAAAGTCGAGACTCATTGGACAATCAGTGATTCCGCTCGTCCATTCGAATCCATTCAATTTACTTTCGGAGCTGAAACGAGATAAGAGGAAAATAAAAGGGGATATAAATAAATGCGTGTTAAAACAAACAAGCTAAATGATGTAAAAATATTTTGAATTTGAATTCAAACGGAGCGGAAGCGGAATTTGACAAATGACACCAACAACAACGGCGGCGCACAGCAGAGTTGAAAATGTGGAAAATTGTTTACCAATGTTCGAGATTAGCACTTGGCAAAAAAGATTGCATAATACACCAGCCAAGAGAGAGAGAGAAAGCAGAAACTGAGGCATAAACCATCAACTTTTACCCGCCAACATTATTTGCCTTGATATCCTGGCAGGGGGTAACATCGTCAGTTTGATGGCACTTTCGAAACTAGCTTCCTTTATAAGGGTTTCATGGCTATTTTTTTGCCCTTTTGGCGCTAAAAACTGTAATTAAAAGCACGAATTTCCAATTAAAATTAGTGCTATCAAAGATCATTAATGTGTCTTAATTTTGACATAGATTTTCCTTAGTTAAAGTTAAATAATAAATAAATACTATTGTAATTAAAATCCCCAAACAACGGTATTTCGTACGTCGTTCTCTTATATTTTTCCACCTATTTCCCTGTCCTATTTGATGGCAACCGCAGACAACCTCGAAGCTGTCTCCAGTGATAAATCAGCACCGAGCTCCGAAAAAAAACCCCCCCAAAAGGAAAAAAAAAGCCAAATGATTCCCAACAAACAACTCCCACAAAACTTCAAAGTTGCACGACATTTTTTCGATGCAATTCGCTCGATTTTCTTTGTGGTTTTTTGACCGGGGGCGTCTCGCATAACAATTCATTATCATTAATTATATTTGCACTCAAATTGCACAAACGGAAAAGCGAGGAAAACTCGGAAAAACTCAAACAGCGACAACTCCCGACTCCCGAGCATGAAAAATTGAACAATGTCGATTAAATTGAAAACAATTTTACGCTGGAAAATTTCAATATTTCCCGTCATTCGCCGTTAGCCTAACAGCAAATCCAACTCTGTGCCGGCATTCCCGAACCCAAGCCTCGAAAAAAACCAAGACCAGAGAGGGGAAATATGGCTCATAAAGCATCGCAACATCAACATCGGCAACAACAATTTATTGGTCGCATTAACCTCCGCGAACTCTCTCACTTTTCTGGGCCGCCCAGGGGTTACAAGGGGGTTCCTCCAGGGGAGGCTCAATCGATGCGAGTTGTGAAAATATCATTTACAGGCAATTTGTGAAAAGCAACAACCAACGGCAGCAGTCCCAGCCAAAGCCAACTGCAAACTCTGCGAAATTTGCACGAACAAGAAGGAAAAAATCAAAATAAAAAAATTATAATATCCTGCAAGGGTATAAAAATGTAAAAAAAAAAAAAAAAAACAAGAAAGGAAGCTAACTTCGGCACGCCGAAGTTTGTATACCCTTGCAGATTGGTTTTGATGTTTATATTATAGATTTAAATGCTGAAAACACACACAAAACAGAGTTTCATTACATTTTACCTATACTTATTATGTTTACAGTTTGACAGTTACAGTTTTACATTCCCAGCTTTACATTTTCTCTACATTTACCGATCGTTTATATGGCAGCTATATGATATAGTTGTCCGATTTTCATAAAATTTTTACCAAAATTCTGAAATAATAAAAAAAGCTTATATCTAAAAGTAGATAAGAATATGTTGAAAAACAACGAAGTTATAATTTTTTTCCTATTCATTTGCCGATCGTTCCTATGGCAGCTATAAGATATAGTCGTCCGATTTTCATAAAATTTTTACCAAAATTCTGAAATAATATAGAATGGCTATATCTCAAAAATGATGCAAAAATATTGAAAAACAGCAAAGTTATAATTTTTTTTCTAAAAATTTATCGAACATTTGTTTGGGAGCTAAATGATATAGTCGTCCGATCCGGCCCGTTCCGACATATATAGCAGTGAGAGTATATAGAAGACTATATGCAAAGTTTCATTCAGATAGCTTTAAAACTGAGGGACTAGTTCGCGTAGAAACGGACAGAGACGGACGGACGGACGGACAGACGGACGGACAGACGGACAGACGGACAGACGGACATGGCTAGATCGACTCGGCTGTTGATGCTGATCAAGAATATATATACTTTATAGGGTCGGAAACGTCTCCTTCACTGCGTTGCAAACTTCTGACTGAAATTATAATACCCTGCAAGGGTATAACAAATGAACGTCGTTTTACTTTAAACAACAAAACCTTTAAAAAAAAAAAAAGGGGGGACAACAGCGGGCGGGGTATCTCTTGTGGTCAAGTTGTTAAAGTCGGAAATGGGCACAAACGTCGATCGTCAGTGGTCGACAACAGCAACGGCAGCGGCGGACGACAACGTCTCCAGGCGATAATTGGATCCCTTTCCAAGTCGGTCGCGGAGTTACGGAGTCAGGGGGCCAGCGGGATGAGGTTCGGTTCAGTAAGGGGGAAACGCGAGTGCTAGAAATTCAATATACTTCATTTTCGGTCGAATCAGAAATTTGTCGGTTTATGGGTGCCAACATAAGGAACTTATCGAAGGTGGCTTGACTTATATTAAATCCCCTCTGAACTAAAGCTCCAACTGTACTCTTACTTAAGACAGTCATGCACTTAGTTTTAAATATAAATTCCTAAGCGTAATTCAAGAACCCTTTTATGCCAAGCACCCAATACTTGACACATTCTCTTATTCGCTTATCCAACGCTCTCAAAACTCTTTTGTTTCTCACTTTTTTTTCTGGTTATTTATGCGCCAAACCGAAATTTAATCCTAAAGTGCAAAACCACAGGCGGAACAAACAGAAATTCTGTCAGGTGAGACAACGAGTCAGAGTAAACGCAACATTTTCGGCTGCCTTAGCACAAACAAAGGAAAAGGTACATATAATGAAAACAAAAAGCGAATTCAAGAGCTTTTCAAAGAACTGTCTGCCGAAAAACAAAGATATCGATTCGAGTGTTTCGTGTGAAAAAGAACAAACTTGAACGAAATACCCACTCGAGTTCATTAACGAAGTTCCCGTCACCGACGGAAAGTGAAATGCATTCGAAATGCAATAGAAAGTGAAATGCGTTGGCAAAACAAAACCGACAACGGAAAATCTCTTCCACCAATACCAAGCACCAAATACCACCATATATAATACCAAATGATCCGACAGATGCTCGCTATATGTGCTATGTGGACCCAAAATGAACCGAGCCCCCTCACCGGCTCACACATGACCTTGTTCGCAAATTCTGTTGACGTACATCGAACATGGGTGCCGCCATCATCCCATCCCATGCCTGGCCATGCCATCCGATCCACCTCGCCACGCCATCCTTTGCTCTTTTCCAGCCGATTGCCATCAAGAAATATTTGAGATTCACTTTCGGAGCCGGCTAAATCCAGCAGCGACAGAAGAAAAAACAATGCCTCCGCGCAGCACATTGACAACTCATAGATAAAATGCTTTTCTTTAACTATGACGCGACTTCCAACTGCGACGACGGCCTCTTCTCAATGGGTATACAAAAAACAATGACAAACTCTTCCACTGCCTCTGCTACTGCAACGTGGAAAGCGGAGACACACGAGGAAAGCCACCACACATCGGTCGAATCAAAAATAATAGTCAGAGATTATTTTCGACTTTTCTATACACTTCTTTTGGGGGGATATCCTCCACTAATTCTTAAATTAATTTCTGGTTTTTTCATTAAAATAAAACGCAAAAGCTTCTCTATAATTCTTAACTGATTCGAGAAAAGGAAAACCTTTCAGAAATCTAAATTAGATCATTATTTCTGTTAATTCCATAATAAAAAATATATATATTTCACACAATAATGAAATATCTCTCATATATCTCGGATATTCTAAGAAAGTGAAATCATTTTATTATTAAGTTATTTGTATTAATTGATAATAATAAATAGTTGATAGTAACTGGGGCACAAACTTAAAAATATTATGCTTGTAGCGTCAGGATAAATAAATAAAATTAAAAAAAACTTTTAGCTAAATCTATATATATTTAATTTAAAACATATATTAAAGCATCTTCTCATCTTGAGAAATATATAGCTAATTTCAGTAAGGGTATCACAAATGATCGTCAACTTGTTGGGGATATGTGTGGGCTGGCATTCGGCACTCGGCGGCATCCAGTATTCAGTATTCAGGCACCAAAGACTCGAATGAAATGCCACAGATTCGTTTTTGATAAAATGCCAGGCAACACAACAAGTTGGGATCCAAAGAAAGAAAGAAAAAGTGAGAATCGGGGCAAGGCGAGGGGCTAATGAGGGAAGAGAGATGGCGCGCAGGCGCGAATGCGCCAGGTGATAAATCTTGCTAGCCAACTTTTGCCAATGCAATTGCAGAGAAATAAACAGAGGAAACGAGAGTAGACGTTAGTTAGACGTTAGGAAAATTGGGGCAAGGGGATCGGGAGGGATGGATGCTATGCGTACGAGGGATTCATATAGACGCTCCGCCGATCCGATAATTGGGCCAAAAACGAATGATGGGGGGCCTGGCAGCGGCAGGTCGAGGCAGGTAATTGATATGTTTACAGCTCCATTTTATTCGCAACTCAATTAAAGCCGCGTCAAGCTGTGACAAGCCATAAACCGAGGAAGACAATCCAACAATTAGAGTCTCGATTTGTTTTAGTTTTGGTTTGGTTCACTTTCGTTTTCCATTTCGCTTTAAAGTGTGAAAGGTCCTCGCAGTGATCAGTGTTCACAGATCGGTGATCTTCAAGTAGTCTTTACTAACTTTTTTCTGTGACTGCTTCGCTTCCTCTTCAGAGATTAATGGATACAAAGTGACCTTCAACTATGAGATACGATCTCTTTCAGTTGGCGACAACTTGAAGTGATCTTTCGCCTAGATATACGATCAATTGGGCTAAGAGATCAACAGCGGTGGATTGGTGGTGACAATTAACAGACTGTTGAGCTTGAGGCATAGATAATGTCAAGATCAGTAGATTTATTAGAGATC